TTCCTCGGCGCGCCGGCGCCACCTCGCGGCCACAGCCCAGCCGCGCGCGCTCCCCGGGAGGTGCAGGGCGGGGTACCAGCGCCCGGCGTTCCGCGGGACCTGTGGGCAGGGTCCCTGCGCCTCTCCCAGGGCCATGCAGCTTCCTATGGCGCCACCAGCCCCGAGAGCAGAGCGGAGGGCTCCTTCAGCTCCTGCAGAGCACACAGGAAGTGGACGCAGCGGGGAGACCCCTTCCCTAGCTCCTGACGGCAGGGTCTTCTTATGGGTCCCTGTCTCTGTAGCCCCCAGGAACCTCTGCACTGGCAGCTTCGTGCCCTCTCCGCTTTCCGATCGTGTCAGAAACTCCCTGGGCTGAGCTTTGCTTACTGGGCTGAGTATAGTACGCTAGGCCTATAGCACTCAGACCTGGAGCCCCAAGGGTGGCCCGGTGAGGGCCTGAGATCTAGCTAGCCTCGGATCCCCCATTAACCAGTACGTGATGTCACATGCACGTCAGAAGAGTCTCAGCTATAAAACGAGTGACAGGGAACCTGAAAAACACCTTAGACCTGAGTCTCAACCATCTACAGGTTCCCCCACCCCACACCCACACTTGACTTCGGAGTTGTGTTTGCAGTTGCAGATCAGAGGCTCCTGGCTGCCTGGGCAGATCTAAGGAAAGTCCACAGGTGGGAATGGCACTGCCCAAGACCAGGTGTTGGCAGCATGGCACCTCTTACCCCCACTGGGGAGCACCCAGGGCCTCAGGCTGGGTCACAGTGTGCCGACGTCCTGAGGGTCTCTCCTGGGTAGAGGGGATTCTGCAGCCTGGTTTCCGGAGGAGAAAGCCCTTATTCTGCATCTGGTCGGGGTCCCAGGCAGCCTGCGGGGGACCCCAGCCCCTCAATGCCAGCCCCACCTCCTCCAGGCCCTCGGTGAGCCATTTCTCACAGGCAGTGAGTGACTCATGCTCCCGGCTTTTCCTGCTCCCTCATCGAAATTCACCTGTCCCCGGGCTCCATGATCTCATTGCCTTGCTCCCTGCCAATGTGAAAACAGGTGATAAATTGGTGTTGGCGGATTAATATGTTACTCCGGCTGGGTAACAAATTTGCATTGAACAAGGACATGCTGACCGTGCCTCGGTGCCCAAGACTGACGGATGGTGGTGGGAAATCCGGGCACCGTGGGAGGCTGGTTAAAGAGCTGCTGGAGGGCGGGGGTCTCTGCTGAGCGCCTAAATCACACCGGGTACTTGGGTGCCTCCATCTGCCACAAACTCCAATAATAATTTAATCCCTGGCTTCGGGGGCCGAAGTCACAGCCTCCATAAGGAATGAAATGGCCTTTCTGAGTGTGTGCCTCTCTTATGCGAGCTTGACGGCGGCATTTATACCTGGTTGACATTTTAACCAAAGAGAAGGCCTCCCTCTGGCAGTACAAGATGGGCTCCCTCCAGAAGGCACGGCTGGATCTGGGCTGGGTCAGCTGGGGAGGTGGCGTAGCCACAGCCAGAAGCCAGGACTTGGAGGTGAAAGAGAGTGAGCCCCTCCTGCCCTGTAACAGAGGCTCAGGGCCAGCAGGGAGGCATTTCGAGAATGGTGGGCGATATTTTGTGTGCCAGATTGTCCAGCTGCCTGATCCTTTCCAACTCTATTTCTCTTTTGTCAGCCTCTGGTCTGCAGTAAAGTTCAGCGTAAATGGTCCTCCTGGCTCTCTGCGGCGCAGTATACACTGGAAGGAAAACGGTGGGTCCCCGTGTCCTGCATCCTTTGATACAACCTCTCAGAATCTCCGTCTCCCCGGCTGAAAGTCTAACCCTACCGCAGCCACTTCCTAGGGCTGTTCGAGGATGGAGCCTGGGGACGCACGCAGAGCCCACTGCCCACCTCCCCGGAGCCCTCAGAGTGCAATTACCGTCGTTAGCATCTGCCTGCAGCCGAGCCAGACCAAGCCCCAGCGCCCAAGTGTCACCCGCTCTGTGAAACACCCCCGGTTTCCTGTTCCCCTGTCTCACCCCTGGGTCCCTGTTAACATTCCTGGGGTCAGCTCCTAACCCCCTACTTGCACTTGATCCTTGTCTCAGACTCTGCTTCTGGGGAACCCAAACCTAGACCTTGCCCTGCAGCCTGGGATCTCAGCCCTGGCCCACAGCAGAAATCTCTGCAGAGTTTAGGGAAATGGAGGCCTTATTCTGATCCCCCCATAAGGAGGGGGCTGGGCACATTTGGTTCTTTAGTATCACCAGTTCTGCCAACATAAACAGTGACAGTGGGGAAGCACTGCTCTAGACAAGACACACTGTTTTAGGCTGAGACAGAAGAGTCTCCCTAGGCAAAGGAATTCCCTAGAGGAGAATCTGGAGCAGGAACAGGAGGGCACATTCAAGGAGTGGCAGCGTGGACCAGACCCCAGCCTCTCCCGGCTGTAAACTGAGCTGGTCCCACCCTGGGGGGTACAGACTCAGCATCTGCTCTGGTACCCTAAATACAGCCCTTTCAGGCCCCTTCTTCTTTTTTTTTTTTTAATTTGTCTTTTTCGAGACAGGGTCTTGCTATGCGGTTCAAGCTGGCTTTGAGCTCATTTTGTAGCCCAGGTTGGTCTCAAATTCACAACAATCCTCCTGCCTCAGCCTCCCCAGTGCTGGGATTACAGGCTTGCACCACCACACCCAGCCTCAGGCCCCTTCTACTGCCCGCAGGTTCTGCTGTCCTGGCTGGAGAGACCAGGAGAAGCCCAAAGACAGAAGGAGGCCCAGCAGGCAGTGGGGAGAAGGACTCCTGGGAAACATGGGGCACGGGCACTGTTCATGGGCTTCAGACTCACAGCACCTAGAGGCCGAGTGGGGTCCTTTCTGAGGCTGCCACAAGAAATAACAGCTGGGTGTGGTGGCGCATGTGTGTGATCTATAGGAGACAGGAGGATCACAAGTTTGAGGCCAGCCTGCACTACATAGTGAGTTTAAGTTTAGCCTGAAGAAAGCGAAACCCCGTTTCAAACAAAACAAAAGATGACACAGAGCCAGGTGTGGTAATACACACCTGTAATCCCAGCACCTTGGAAGGTTGAGGCGGGAGGATCACAAAATCAAGCCCAGCCTGGGCAATTTAGCAACTTAGTGAGATTCGGTCTCAAAATTTAAAAAAAAAAAAAAAAAAAATTGGATGTAGCTCAGTGTTAAGGCCCTGGGTTCAATCTCTAGTATAGAAGAAAAGAACAGAAGAACGAGGAAAGCAAGGAAGGAAAGAAGAGAGGGAGGGAGGGAGGGAGGGAAAAAAGAAGGAAGGAAGAGGGAGGGAGAGAGGGAAGAAGAAAAGAAGGAAGGAAGGAAAGAGGGAAGGAAGGAAGGAAGGAGGGAAGGGAGGGAGGGAGGGAGGAAGGAGGGAGCGGCTTAAAACAATAGTACTGTGCTTTCTAGCGGTCCTGGTGACAGAGCCGAAGTCAAGGTGTCAGCACGGTTGGCTCCTTCCGAGACCCCGAGGGAGACCCTGTCCTGGGCCGCCCTTCCCTTCCGTGGCAACCAGCGATTCTTCTTATTCCCTAGCTTGAGGCTGCATCAGCCCACTCTCTGTGCTGCCTTCCACAGTCATCTTCCCTATGTGTTTCTCTGTGTCCACATCTCTGTCTCCATATGGGGCACCTGTCATTGGACAGATGGCCCACTCCAGCACAGTGTGACCTGTTTAGCCAAGTTCATCCACATAGACCCTATTTTCAAGTGAGGTTGCGTTTTGAAGTTCCTGGAGAACATGGCACTCAAGGGGACACTGCTCAAACCCCCATAGGGACCTTTCGGAAGGGGCTGAAGTGGTTAGAGATTGCTGAGGGCCAGCAGCCCCCGAGGCCATCCCTGCCCTGTTATTTTAGGAGAAGCCCGTTGCATCATTTTTAAATGTAAGCTCAATATTTTTAGATCACCGTGCAAGATGGATGAAACCCGCCTGGAGGCCTGCCATCAGGGCCCCTAAGGCTACGCCCCACCCCGCGCCCCCAAGGACACCCAGCTGCACAGCCACCTGCTTGCCTGGGAGGAAGCTAAACACTTGGGTGCATGCTGGGGACCAGAAGGTGGCTGCATCCTGGAGACTTCCTGGCCCCTCAAGGTCCCCAGCACCCCTCTGGGCATCGGAGCCCTGCTCTGCTTCCAACTTCTCAGGGTTTCAGGTTGCTTGTGGAACTCCCGGACGAGGCCCGGGGCAGGGAGGAGGACACACAGTTACTGGGTATGAAACCCCCACTTCCTGTGCTCCGGCTGCAGCGGCAGACAGCACATTACGAGGAATAGGCCATTGTCCTTTGTGGGAGTGCGGAGCATTAATAATGTCATAACAGCATTTGCCGACACCGGGCACAAATCATCCGCAGCCGTTCGGGGAGGGAACAAGCCGTACACAGACGCCCAGCGCCTCGGCCCTGGAGGGGAGGCTGCCGAGCAGGGAGGGCTGT